CCCTCTCTCTTCCTTTCCCACCTGCTTCCCCCTTTCCTCTCACTTGTCTCCTCTGACCTCCTCATTTTCCCCTGATGACAGCACCTACACATGATTAATGATAATCCATGCTGGCCATTGACTGCAATTTGGGAGCACTTTATATGAGAGACAGCAGGAGGGAATTTTCACTCACTCTTTCTCTGTTCCCAGTAGTGTCTTTTACTCAACTGACTCGAGCTTTCTGAGGAAAAAGACACCAGGGGGAGCCGAGATAAAAGACACTTTGGAAAGGAAAGAACCAGTGAGCCCACGTTCACTGCTACTAATAGCACTATTTTGAAGAAAAATCAGCTCCAAGCATGAGTAGGAGGAGGCAGATGAGGTCGGCGGTTATAAATGTCAACTTGTGGAGAAATATGATTCTTTTCATTCGCTTTTGGCCTAGTTTAAAAATCCCAAACTTATCTTCTAAAGGGATAAACAGTAGGCTGGGGTGCTTCATGGGCTATTGGTGCTGGTGAAATGAGTCCTCATAAAATCCCTCATAACAAATCATTATGCAATCATAAAGAAACAAAAGCATAGAGACTGCTGATGTTAAACGGCATCATTTGGTGGATTTTAGAGCCCTCTAGTGGCCAAACCTGCATACAATTTGACCTTTACTAAAGATTTTACATTGGTGGAAAAACTATGAAAAACTTCTCTTTCATTAAGATGGCTAATTTACATTCTCACATATAAATATTTTTAGTCATTTTAAAGTATTTGCTATGCGTATTACTTACTAAAGCACAACTGTTGGACAAATGAAATGATAAAGGCTGAATTTCCACACAGAGTCAGCACATGGTATTATTACAGACGCTGTTTCAATCACAGACCTTTATTGGACATCAAATTCACAATGTGAAAAAACACTCCTCTTTACCAGAGTAGATTAAGAAGGAGAGTGATGACATCTCCATTGACTCTAAGTGTTGCAACTTTTCTATCTTGATGGCACATCAATAACATAATTTGCAAATTTGTATTTTGAGCATTTCTGACCATATGTGGTATAATACAACTACTTACTGAAACAGTAACTTAAAGAGATTAATTCAAGGTGCTATTATATTATTTGCTTCACACTTGCCTAAATGGTTCTCTCTTGTCTTTAGCAGCCTCATGTGTGTTTTGTTTTTCCTCAAGGTAATGAAGATTTTTCCAGTTTGCATATGAGACACAACAGTAGATGAGTTACTGTCTGACCTGCCTGCTCTGTCCTCTTTTTGAACCTCTCTTATTAAATAGGGCTGCACCTAATAGCTGTTTTCGGTTTGGATTAATTTGTGGATTTTCTTGATTCAGTGACTAATCATTTGGTCTGTAAAATATCAGTAAATTGTAAATTAAACAAACAAACAAAACAAAAAAACAAAAATAAACAGGCATTCGGTGTTCCCAGAGACCATAGTGGCGTTTTTGAAATCAGGACCCAGAGATATTCAGTTTACAATCATAAAAACTAAGAAAACCAGAAAATGTTATTATTTGAGAAGCTAGAACCAAAGGCATTGTGATATTTTTGCTTAAAAATTGGTCAAACAATCAATCAGTTATCAAATTACTTTACTGTAGAGTTACTAATTGATTAATCGACTTATCATTACAGCTGTATTGCTGATAAGAATTGCTCATTTTCCCTTTTTTACCTCTTTTTTCTTTGTCTCTTGTTATTTGTATTCTACAGATTTTAACATGGACCACATGGTGAATTCACTGCATGATGAAGGTCCATGGTCAAAACATTGTGTCTCTAATAAACTCCGTGGTGACAGTGTGCTGCACCTATTGTATACTAAGTATTTGTTATGAAAACGAGTCCAGCTGTTGTTTCTATTCTTCTAACCAGACATATCAGTTGGTTGTGTAATGATTTCATTAACAGCCAAACTGATGTTGATGAGGTGGATTTCCTTCTGTTGTTTGTCACCAGTATTTCTCGGGATTTGTACAAAATTACCTTGTGCATTGAATGTGGATCACCACCAGGTGTCACTGTGTCCATGCACTTTAGCTGGAGGGTGAAGCGAAGACCTCCAGCCCGCCTCTCCCATGTGTAAACGACCCTTGAGACATGATGGGTGACTTAGTAGTGCACTGCAGCCTCGAGCTTGTTCTTTTGTTTTCTGTGTTCACTGATCCATCATGGCCAGCATGGGGAAAAAAAAAAGAGAAATGCCGAGTCTGGGTTTCACAGATAATTTACTGATATTTTGATTGTGTTTCCTGAGAGTGAAGGCGCTGAATGACCACAATACTCACTTACATATGGTTCGATAAACAAAAGAAAGGCTTAAAAACAGGTGCAATGTGCATGATTTTCTGGGTACTTCTGCAACTTTGTTGAGCCACAGTTTCGTTTTATATAAGCCTACTACACTGGACACTGTGAAGCAATGTCAGCATAGTCTGTGATACTGTGTGTCCCATAATTTATATTTTGCTAACAAATTCACAACAAAGGTATTGGAAGTGGTGTTCACCTCTTATTTTTTTATATTCATCTTTATTGTTTTAAAAATAAATCTGATTTTTGATTCCGCTCAACTTTCTTTAAACCTTTTAAGAGTTGTACATTGAGAGGTAACTGTTTATAGTCAGAAAAAAAGTGGAGGGGATGTGAGGTGTTCTCCATCATGTTCAGTAGTCTGGGAAGCACCCTCTTCTCCACAACCAACTCCACAGGCTCCTGAGAAGTCCTCGGTACAGAGCCAGTCTGATCACTGTGTTCAGCTGCTGACCAGCAATTAGTTCAGGTTCTGCAATCCAATACTCATTATTCTTTTCACACCATCCTTCAGATCATTGTTAATGTTTTGTATATTGGTGAAAGCTATACTTTAATTAGCTTTTTTATTTATTTATGCTACACTCATGGTAAAAATAAAAACATACAAGTATTCCTAGATTGAGCAAATAGCATTCTGAAACTTAGACTGACATCTGTGTGAATGGAAGCCTGGTGATGACTTAGCTCTATGCTATGGAGGAGTGTATGCTTCGCCAGAACAGGGTATTTTAAACTGAGTGGTGCAACAAAGCTAATATTTTTTCCAGGCTGAAATAAATGCTGGTGTGACTCGGCACTAAGATGGAAACACCTCAGGAAAAAATCAAATTTTGCTTCATTTAGACATTTGATTCTGTAACCAGATTCAAGTAAATATTTTAAGTTCCCAACACTATAGCTGTCTCCAAACAATTCTTGGCCACAGAATAAATTTACAGACTGCACAGATGCACCATGTAGCACATTGTCAAAACAGCAGTTTATACAGGGACAGAGAGAGACTGATAGAGAGCATAGGTGTGTTGTAAATCCGTATGCAGGGTTATTGTCTCTGATCTGTGGCTCCACTTCGAACATTCATCTCTCTGGTTAATGCACATCAGCCAGCAGCTCCCCTTCCCAGACAGCTTACAGAAATAGCATCAGTATTGTATGGGACTGGGAGGTGCCAGCTTGCATTGTTTTATCTGAAACTACAATATGTGGGTATTACCATGGAAACTGCAGAGAGCTGTCCAAGTTACTGTCAAAGAGCCATGTTGCAGAGAAGTCAGATACATTCAGATTGTGGAAGCTTGTGGTTTCAACCTGTCAACAACTAAATCTTGTTTCCCCCCACAGCAATACATAAAAAATGTGGGGCTAGATGTTTTCTTTGAGTAAAATTAAACTTCCTGATTTGACTTTAAAAGAACCATGTCTTGGTATGATTGTGAGTGGTTACAATAGAACACAGTGGATTAATAATACGCCTACTGTATCTCATGAAACATTCTTCCTACCTTGAAGCTGTAGGGTTGTTACAGTGTACTGCACTCTGGGTTAAACAACTTTATTGAGAGAAACACACATTAAAAAGCTCAAATCCTACAAATCCCTCTTATTGCACTGTGGGAGAAAAGCATTCGGTCAAAGTCAGTTTCCTTACACAACATATTAACAACAACAACAATAATAATAATAATCAAGTCAAGTCAAGAATCTTTATTGTCATTATGCATAGCACAATAAAATTTCTTCCAGCAGCTCTCATCTTAAAAAGGCACGTTATTTACATAAATAACACAAGAATTGTACAGTCAATATAAGAATATGAGCAGATAAAAATGAAGATGTGTAGGACCTAATCAGGTCAACAGCATATTAGCAGCAGAAGAATATAGTCCCATTCTAAAGTGCAGCTCAGTGCAAATCTCAGTCTTTAAGAATGGGGATATTATTTTTATTATTATCATCATCATCATCAGTATCAAAAGTGAAAAACATTTAAACATCGCTTGCAAAATAATGAAAAACCACCTAATGCTGACACTTTTAATGGCACTCCCTCTTTAAACAAATGATGTAATTATGTTTTAACTGTAAAGGGGAGTGGACGTTTAACAGTTAAATTCATTCAGCCAATAACTCGCAGGCGCTGCAATCTCAAACAGCCAGGACACCGTGTTGAGTTCAAGTTTAGTCGGACATTTCCTGATTTCGAAACTGAGAGATCTGAACGAAACATATGTATGTAGGTAGATCTCCGCCATAACGTTTGAGGACGCCATAAGCACATTTCGAGCGCTACTCATTTTGCAACTCAGCAAGACAGTTTTGTAAGTGCAAATACACATTTGAGAGCCTAATCCGGGCCATGGGTGTTCTGGTTTTGATTCTGTGTTGTTAAA